AAACTGGGCTTGATCCCTGGATAATGTCTGAAACTCCTGAACCCCCACAAATCGAAAAGACTAATAATTACCTTTCATAGGATTGTGTTATCAAAATTTCCAAGTTTCCGGAAGAGAAAGGTATAATCCATGAAACAGTACATAAACGATTTCCTTTCTTGAGATATATTAAATCGAATGTATGATATCGAGATGTTTTTGAATATACAGATCCAGAAGCTAAATGTCCGATATGCAATGGAGTACATATACATCGAGGTATATGGGGCGATTGGAGCTGTCTAGGTAAAAATGATCACAATTTTCTTAATTACTCTTTTCGCATTGATCAAAAGAAAGTTATAATTGCTGTACAAAGTTTGCTGGAAAGTGTGTCGAACAAACCTTGAGAAACAGAACCTCGTTCACCAACTCATCCAAACAAAAATCGCCTTTATCAGTATGCCATCGAATATGGAGTAGATCCTGAGAAATTTTCGGTTATTACAGAGGCTGAGAAAAAAAGGTGAAGCATGGGATGCTTCTGTGGTGATTTGGAGAGAAATATACAATTCTATCGTGGAGGAATAAAAAGGAATGAAGATACCAGAAAATATCATAAATTTTTAACAGATCGGGATAGGCTGATTGGCGAAGAATTATTACATCATGGTATAATAAAAAGTGAATTGAGTACTGCATGACTAGATGATCTCATGAATGAATGGGAAAAAATTCATAATCAATTCATACAAATTTTTAACTAGACGGAATCCAAGAATTCAACTGAGGTAAATGTGAAAGCGTAAATCAGAGAGTCAAAGGCTCAGCGCTCTAAGTATATAGGTAATTCGTAAAATCTAATTTTTGGTTATTAAATAAATATTTTTTCACCGATCACTTCTATTTCGGATGTAATACCAATCCTGGTTATTAAAGAATAGAGTAACCGCATGTGATGAACCCGAAAGCAAGAGGTGTCACGTACGAGAAAAATTTACCAAAAAATAGCAGATAGTTAGTTATCCCACTTCACATGTATTTTATGTATTAATAAAGCAATTAGACCTAAATGGTCATTTTTCCGATAATTAATTTTTGTGCGTGGTGATAAGTGGCGTTTCATTTGAGATCATCATTTCGAGATGTGCGAAGATGTTCCTATATTTAGATCCATACTTTTAGATCATAAATAAGCACGATAAAGGTACGATGAATAAAGCTCCTCATAGGCCTTAAGGCCCGCGAGCCTAGCGAGCTGATCCAAGTCGAGCTGAGCCTGATATTATAGGCTCATAGGCTTGCGAGCTAAGCCCAACTAAGGCCTGGCTCACAAGGCTCAAGCCTCAAAGTAGGCTCGTGAGCCTTAAAAATTTTGGGGCTTTAAATAAAAGCCCACATAATTTTTTTTATTTTAAA